CTGTGGAACTCAGAATTAATCTGAGTGTCAATGTTAGGTCCAATAGTTTCACTTTCACAAGTGCAGCATTAAAGCTTTCACCATGATGCTCTGCTTGGTATTTATTTAAACTTTAATATAAATTATTTTGGGATTATTTAGATATAACGGACACTGAGATGGAAAAGAAAACAGAAAAGAAACAGAGAAAGATAAAGGAAGAGGTTAAAACGGAAACAACAAAATAATAGAAGAGAAGAAATAGATCTGATTCTTTCGAATTAAGACAGTCATCTTCAAATTTGACCAAATGATATACATGTGTTTACAATGCATGCTCTCTGCTACCTGCATGAAATGTGATAGGTTTCCTTTCGTCACACAGAGTCAGAGGACAGAGCCTGCTTACCCTGGAAGAAGTCAGGTTGAGGTCCCCCCAGATGACAAAGCCTGCAGCTCCCAGAGCAGCGCTCTCCCCGATCGTATGGACCAGGTCTCTCTGTGGGAACACAAAGGACAGATGGACCCCATGTCCATCATCATCACACATACAGCAACACACTGGGTTTCTTTTGTTGTTTGGTGCTTTAAAAGTTAAACTGTAATTTAGGTTCCATATTCTGACACTGGCTGTCAACACAACAAACGTCCACCAGATGGCAGAAGTGTACAAATGTAGAATTTGTTCTTGGATTCAATCAGAGAACAACAACAACAACAACAACAACAACAACAAAAACTTCGAGAGTATAGAACTGAATATTTGTGTGATCCTTTTGTTGAGAAATTTGCATTTTCTTATTAATGAACCAGGTACTTATTTTCTATAACTGTAAAACTCATAAATTAAAGAAGTAGAAATATGCAAGAATACAAGTCAAGTTTGTGACTGAGGAGGCATTAGAGAATTTTTTTAAAGGAAGGAGATAAAATGTGCAGCTGATAACTTTTGAAGTAAAATTGAATTTGCAGCAAGGTTCAAGAAGCAATAAAGTTTATTATTGTAACAATTTAATGTCATTAGAAAAAAAGTTTAATATTTTAATGATCACATGTAGGACTAGTGTTTGAATAAACATAACTCTCTTCTATTTATAGAAAACAAAAAACAAAAGGCTTAGCTTTCTTGAAGAAATGCCTTGTGATATTTAAATATCTTGTTTAGCTGCAGGTAAAGCTTTATTTTAGCTCAGGAATAATAAACACCAATAACAGCACAAGTTATTCAAGTTATTCAAACCCCTCAGAGTTTATTGTTGTGCACAGCTCGTGCGTTTTTACAAGAGGCCAGATCACCAGTGGAATTTTCTAGTGAAGCCAAAGCTTTTTAAAGCATGGTGCACCATCATCATGGAGTCTCCAGCAGGGGGCGCTCTAACAGACTTGTTGAAGGAACTGTTTTGTTGAAAGCATGCAAGCAACTCCACCAGAAAATTGAATCAGGTTCTTTTTGGAACAAAACTAAAAGTCTAATGTCCATGTCTCCTCTAGACCAGTGCTTCCCAAAGTTGGGGTCGGGACCCACAGTGGGGTCCTGAAACATCAAGGTGGGGTCCTGAATATATTTTCTGAATTAATTGCCTATATGCCACGGTCATTAATGACGCATTCTGGTAAAATTCTTGCCACGCTCCTCCCTACCACTCCCTGCTTACTGCCTATGTTTTTAGCGTTAGCTGCTAGTACTAGTCCGTGAAAAAGTCACAAAAGTTAAAGCATCTGTGATCTACTGGTATAAAACATGAGTTCTGTTGTGTGTCGTTGTGTCCACTAAGCAGCAGTACGATCGAGTAGTTAGTTTTTATCCATTTTCCTCTTGATGAGGAGGTGACAGCTGTGGATCATAGCATTACAGGGAAAACTTATCTTTAAAAGCTCACGCTTGTGTTTGTAATCAGCATTTCTAACCTGAGGATATTCAAGAGTCAGCATCAGAAATGAGAAGATGGAGGTTACAAAAGGGAAATGTACATTTATCCCCTTTTACTGCCAAGACGAGAGAGGAAAGACCACCTCCAGAAGACAGCTAGCAGGAAGCTAACACAGCAGCCTGTAAAGGTAGGTGTGTGCGCGCGTTTGTGTTATATGAAATGTTTTTATGCGACTTTGTCATGAGTTTTATGCAAAAGTAAAACCTTGTTAGAGTGTATATTACAGCGTAGACTAAAGCTGAGTGACGAGCACGCCCCCTCCTCCCCCGAGCACCGAGAGCAGCAGAACCTCCACCTGATAATCATTACGTTTTCAGTTCACTAACATCGGGGAAAATGATCCAAACCAGACAAGTAGCCCATCGATTTAAAGCCCAGACTCTGCTCTTTCCAACAATATAAGTTTCACAGCTCTACGTGAAAAATTCACGGAACAAGCAGCCACAGAAAAGTGAAAAAGGCTAAATTCTGGAACCATAAACACGAACGTCTTTCCTTTGTTTTTATGGATTTAATCCACTTTGGAGTGATTTTTTTCACTAGGCTGGACCTGTACGTCTCCTGTGTTAATGTTGGTACATGTAATATGCTAATTATGTACTGTGGAGATCATTAAGAGTCGTCGTCGTCGGGTGAAAAAATCTTTCGCTAACACTGTTGACCGTGAACCAGAAGTGTCGGGAGTGGCATCAAGTGCTGGACCGGATGTCTGTGGTATGTAGGCTATTACACTAAAAACTGACAACTAAGCACATTTAATTGCCTTTGTTGTTACAAAATAGTAAGATTAGTGTACTTAAAATAGACAAAAATAGCATAATAAATAATGTTACACTGCGCTTGTTTATTTGACGTGAAAACAATGTTTATCAACTGAGATCAGCTAAGGATCCTGGTCTCTGCTGCTGGTATTTTGTGGGTCAAAAGCTGAAAAGTTTGGGAACCACTGCTCTAGACTAATCAATCCCTTGCAGATGTGTAAGGGCACAGAAGTTTCACATCATGGTAATAAAATCTTTGTTCTCAAAAATTAGACCCATATAATGTTTTTGTCCATGTCTGTTTCTGTGTGTGTCTAAAACTAAAATATCTCATGAACTACTGGATTCTTTTATTGGAACGTACAGAAAGGTTGTACTGCATGTTCATCTGGAGCCCACCCAAATTTACACGCTGCTACAGCCAACTTTAAAAAACAGAAATGGCCTCAGCTCAGCAGATTTTACTGATATGAGGCTACAGCTTGGTGTGATTGTAGCCGAGAGGGTTAGCCAGCATGTTCTCTGAATGCAAACACAACTTCTAAGATCAAACAGTACTGCATGAGGACACACATCACTCACATGACAAGGACCGAGCAAACACAACAACACTCCTGATTTTTTTACTGAAGATGATGGTCTAAAACCTCAACGTGAAAAGCATGGAGCAAGATGGAGATTCTTCCAAAAATGTGGTAACATTAATCAGTGTGATAAATGTACTCACTGTGGTGAGGAAGGCCAGGGCGTCGTCTCTGTAGCCAAGCCTGAGGTACACGTAGGCGGGCAGGTCGTACTCCTTGGACGTCAGTGAGGCGATGCGGAGCGACTCCCGGATCCTGTGCTGAGTGAAGTGCAGATTACTGATGCTGTCGCTGTGACTCTTCCTGATGGCCACAGAAGGAAACAGCGCCGAGCTGCTGTTCCACAACCACAGCAGCTCGTCATTCCTCAGCCTCTCCAGCCGGGGGCAGAGGCCAGTATAGTTCTTCTCATGCAGGTTGTAGTTGTGACAGTCGGGGTAGAGGTAAAAACCCCAAAGGGCACTGGGCCGAAGCAGCGTTCCCAACTGGATAGTCCGCTGCATGAAGGCCTTGGCGCTTTTTTCAAAGCGCCGCCGTGCCAGCGCTTCTACCTGAGCTGCTGTCACGTTAACGTACGCCTTCATGGTGAGCTCTTTGGACTTGCGCCTGTAGATGTCCTTCTTGTGCCAGTTACGGTCCCACTGAGGTCGCCAGAACTCCCAGTCGATGACAGCTAGGCCACGGAAGTCCTCAGCGGGAATGAAGTGAATGATGTCCTGGTAGGCCTTGAGCAGGTGCAGGTCCAGGCTGCAGTTCTGAGGGAGGCCACCGTGCACGGCACTGCCTTGCATGTTGTAGTAGGGGTAGAAACCCAAACGGTTTGCATAAAAAATAGTCACGTTCTGGCCTGTCCAGTCAGCACGTGGGCTTCCCTGGATGTGGAAAAGATGATCCAGGTGTGTTGTGATGTTGTATTTGATGGTGCACATGTCCAGAGGGGCATTCCAGGCGGCGATGAAGGGTTTCCGGCTGATCAGTGGAAGCTTTGCAGGTTTCTGACCAAAGGCGACGTGGAAAAGAAGAAAGAGCCAAGAGCAGCTGAGAGCGACAGGTACTACATGGTGGGAGGATGTCCCGCCCACTGGCACCACAAGCATCCTGGGGTTCAAGCGTGTCATCCATCAATCATCCTGAAGAGGGAAGATAAAACGATAAATGAATAAGTTGTTATTCTTCAATTTTTAACATTTTTTAAACAAAAAACAAGTTCAAGTGAGACTGGTCTACACTGTTTTCAGAGGGTTTGGTTCATATGCAAGGATGGTCAGGAGGCTGAAAAATAGACTATTCTTGTATTCACAAAAATGTTCAAATATGGAAGTGAGCCGTGTTTGAAAGAACGAGGCTGGATTAGTGATTAGTATCTCAGCTGCAGTCTTTTGGGGTCATGGTTCCACACGCACCCTGCAGGCGATGGTTGTGTCTCGAACCAAAGAACCAAAGATGTGCATGCTGGCTGAAGTGGTCACCCTGAGTTACCTTCAGGAGTGAACAGACTGTGTTTGATAAGCATAAAAACACCACATGACTATTTTCCTGAAAAACTATACAAAAAAACACAACGCATCAAAATTATATCTAGACAATTTTCTCAGCGTTGACTGATCTGTTGATTAAAATGACTATAATGATGATTATTTTTAAAACAGCCTGGGGTTTATGAGGGGGTCCCTGGTAATTTTTTATCCTTGCAAGGGGTCCCCAGAACCAAAATGTTTGAGAACCTCTGAGCTATACAACGTACGTTGTTCAGTATTTTCATATATGCTGATAATCTCATGCAGTTTAAAGCTTGCAGTCACACTAAATTCAGTTCACACTGTTTACAATGAATGCTTTTTTCTGATAAAGCTAAAGGTTTTTGATGTTTCTGCCTCTTGTCCAAATGAAAATAACATTTCAGGAGAATGGGTTCCAGCGAAACTACTTTGAAAAGGATGACATCGTTCTCCTGCCTTTAATCTAATCCTGGACTAGAGGGTGTCCTCGTTTACTTGTGTTTAGCTTTCACCCAGTGTTCAAACTTTATGGGCGTGCTCCACGCCTTGTTTCCTGTTTTTGGTGTATTGTCATGACAGTATCACAACGTCACATAGGTATTTTGGGTTGTTTTCTGTGTTTCTGTGTGGATGAGGTCATTTCTATAAACAGTGCTGTGTTTACTAGAGTATACAACAAATAAAATGTTATGGAAAAAACTGTGTTTCCGTGAGGAGCAGGCCTGAGAACGTTGTTCAGATGAGGAGTAAAGTCCAGTTGTTTGTTTGAAGTGACTCAGGATGTTAGATTTGGTTCAACCAAAATATTTATCTTTAAATTGAGCAAAAACATATTCAGATTTAACTTTTGCCCGTGTCGTTCCTCAGGAGCATGCCTCTATCCAAGGGTCAAAGGTGAGAAAGAGGAAATCTTCTGACAGCCAGGAGTTAGAGAGCTGGTCATGCTGCCAACTTTTCCTCCACATGTAGTTATTCTGTGACCACAGCTGAAGACCATAATGTCAGCTTTTACTGCCAAATGTCTCCACAAGTTTCAGTTTTTGCTGTTTCTGTGTCTCCTACACACATACAGACTTCAGACATTTCAGTTTACCTTTATTTACTAGAGATGGGGTTTCACAACTACTGGTGAAAAACCATTAAAGGGATAGTCTGGTGATTTTAGAAGGGGTGTCTGTATTATTACTGCAGAGGTTTTGTAGCTTCACCTGCTGACAAAAAGTCAATAATCTTTTAGTCTGTTTGTTTGTCACCTCTGTCTCATGAACCGTTGGACAGATTTTAATCACACTCTCAGAACATAACCACTGCATGAACATTTGGAGTCAACCCAGTTCAACATGGCTGCCCAAGGTAACGGCTACTGTTGAACATCACCGAACTATACTAGCTTCTTTTTATCTATTTGTAAAACTTGAGTATTAAAACTTGGGGGTTATTTATTTGCATCAACCCTATTTGTCTGTTAGCAAAATATGTCGTAAACCAGATTTTAATGATTTTCTAACTGGATGTATACATCTACAACTGTTTGGAAAATTTTGGGAGTTAAAGGGCCAATATTATGTTTCTCAGGCATATATTTAAATACTATACCATAATAAAGCATCTATGTCACCTTTAGTTGTTATTAAAATGCTGTTTTATGTTTAAATAGAAAATAAACTTATCTTCTCATCACTTCCTCTTCTAAACACCTTGAAATTGGCATCTATCTCTTTAAGAACCACCTTCCACTTCTGCCCCACCCATTTCGGTGGTGTGTGTGTGTGTGTGTGTGT